TGATGATGATAATGCTGCTGCTGCTGCTGCTGATGATGAGGATGATGATGATGATGATGATGAGGATGATGAGGATGATGATGATGAGGATGATGAGGATGATGAGGATGATGATAGTTATTGCAATGAATAGTAATAGTGATAATAACTAGTGATGGTAATAGTAGAAATTGCAATATCTTTTCCGACCTTACAGTGGAAATATTACTTCATTATAATATAAACAGTTCTCTTTCTTCCTCTTGTACAGTTTGAAGGAAAAGAGTCCTCGTCATTTCTCGGCCACTTCCAAGACGGTGTCATGTACGTATGGCTAGTTGCGTGAAAGTAAACTTGAATCCTCCATTCGTAACTTACTTGACCTTCTACGCACATCGGTGGTCTCTATTCTCAGTTTCACTCGGGCCACTTGGGATGAGGTGACGTCATTCGCAAAGGACGCTTTAAACTTATTTTGAAGAATGTCAAATAGGGGGAAAAGGGGGGGGGGGCTTAAGTATTACCACTATCTGTTTTAAATAGCTCAGCACACCTGTAACAGTTTATGTGTTCCAGGCTTGGTTCTGTGATTCCGGTAAATAAAACGTTTTCGTTGTCTTGATCGTGATTCTAATTGTTTTAGCTGACACGGCTACGTCCTGATCTATCTGAATTACATAGCGAAGTCGATGTACCTTGCATTTCAAGTTGGCCTACGAGTTTTCCCTTTAATAAAGCGTTTCTATATTTTATTTCATGTTAATGTAATATGAAATTAACGCTCATTTCAAACACTCTGAGCTCATATCAGAAGCAGAATCTGTTAATTTCCCGTGCGTTCCCGATAGGACTAAGTGAGTAAGTGAATGGTGAGACTTGAAAACTCCACAAAAAAACCAAGTTTAAAAGTGCCTCGACGTGGATTCGATTCTTCCATCCGCAAGGTCGTACAGCTTGATGCCAGCTCGCCTTGTCTCTGCCTGTTGTTGCTGCTGCTGTTGTTGTTGCTGTTGCCGATACTGTGGTGGTGGTTGTCGTTATCGTTGTTCTGGTTGTTTTTGTTGCCCTTGTAGCCAGTGCTCTTAATATCGCTTATATCTTTGTTGTCGTCGTCGTCGTTCTCGTTGTCGTCGTCTGTGTTGTGGTTTTTGTTGTTGTTGTTGTTGTTGTTGTTGTTGTTGTTGTTGTTGTTGTTGTTGTTGTTGTTCTTCTTCTTCTTCTTCTTCTTCTTCTTCTTCTTCTTCTTCTTCTTCTTCTTCTTCTTCTTCTTCTTCTTCTTTACATGTGTT